CTGGTGGTGGTACATGAGGTTCGTCAGGTGATTCTTTGGACTCTGCTGGGGTACGAGGAAACACGTAGGCACCGATCAGCAAGTACCGGTAGTCCTTATGATTTGGATCCGCTGCTCTATGTCTGAACGGACCTGCAACATCTAGGCTCAGACAATAAGCGCTGGGATGGCGTACACGACGATGTGCCCTTCCAGTTCCTCTAGATCTCACACATGTACCACAACGTCGGTGATATGGCACATGGTTGTTGCGCACGTGCGTGCGCCACATCTCCAGCTCCTTTTCAGTAAAGCCCTCTAAGAACTTACCAGACTCGGCATCCAGCTTCTTCATCCACTTCATCACCTGCAGAGCTTCCGGTTCTCTTCCCCATTGCTTGATCGCCTCCACCAACTCCTGCTTGAAACCAACAGTCCACGCGGCATTCTCCTCCGTCGTTGTCCCCAGAGGCTCCTTCAGTTTCAAATTCGTGACCACATTATCACCCACCTCTTCCAAGCAAGCGACATCCATGTAGCCCTCCCAGGTAGAAGACACCGAGGACCATCGCTCCACCTCGCCCTTCCTGGCGAGCTTCATGATCTTCTGGCCCTCAAGCAACACAAACGCCGGATGGCCTCCATGAGCTGCTCGTGCTGCCTTGGCCACAACAGACAACCACATCATCCTCTGAACCAACTCAGGCTTCTGCGGAGGGCTGCCGAAGATCCCATCGACTCTCCCAGTAGCAGCAGCCCACAAGAGTGCTCGATAAACACCAGCCACCATGTTCATGTCCTCAGCCTTGCTGCGGTTGATGTCCACTTGAACCATCACCCTCCCGTCGTCCAACTCACGAAACACTGGGTCCAACGCCCTTCCAGGACCTGAATAGAGGTGAATCACCCAGGGCAACGTCATCATCCTCTTCCTCCGCTGCCTCGAGCCCGGGACCGCCCTCAGGTAAGCCCAGCCCGCACGGTCAGAGAGCTCGATGTTCTCTGCAAGCAGAGATCGCTGCAAGTCTGTCCACAACGCAAAAGGCGATCCCTTTGTCGTCATCGCTGCCAGTTGGGCAGCTCGGCCTCCACTCTTAACGAAGTCCTCAAGGTGGCGCGCCCATGGCTTCTCCTTGTCCCAGAGCCACAAAGCCTTCGCAGTCACCCTTGTTGCATTCTCAAGGGTCTGGAGCTTCCGGGACTCAATCTCCCGGATAAGATCGAGAGCCTGTGTCTCTCCCACCGCTGGGCAGCGTCCCACCATGGCTGGCCGAATCACCCCATGTTGTGGGTGACGTATTACGAGTCCACCTCGTCGGGACCAGGATATCTGGCATCCCAGCTCTTCCACAAGCGCCCCCAAAGGCACTATAGGAGCCGAAGACATTGCACCCGTCTTCTTGGCCAAAAGGGTGCCGTGCCGGCCTTGAGAAAGCACTGCCTCGCGGCCCCCAGCCAATTGTACTCGAACTTGATCAGCATCCATCATCTCATCATCATCTGCTTCCCGAAACGGGTGGCTCGCTCCACTATCCAGGAGACCAGTCCGGCCATCCTCTGGATTGCAACCAACTCCAACTGCCTGGTTCTGCACGTTGGTGACCGTCAAGGACAAAGTCTTTAGCTGGCGAATCTCCTTGAGCATTGCGCTGGCCTCTTCCAAAAGGCTCTTTAGCTCGGTCTCGGGCACCGCTGGGGGAGGTGCTTCAGCTGCACAACCAGCCGAAGCCGCCGAAGTCGTAGATGCTGTCGTAGTAGTAGTCGACGAAGCCTGGCTATTAGAGTTCACCGTAGGCGACGACTTGGCTGCTGCCCCAGCTTTAGCCGTAGGGCTTCCACTCCCAGCCTTCACAGGGCACTCCGGTTGGTGGTGCTGGGTACTGCCACAGGTCCAACATCGTCCCAGCTTCTCCTTGCGAGTGAAGGCATGACTGAAAGTACACGAGGACCCTTTAGAGCAGCCCTTGTCCGTAAGAAAGAAGCGGCAGGCTGGCTTCGATTTCGCCTTTGGTTGCCCAGTTGGGCTTCCGGTCCCCTGCGCTTGGCCTTGGTTAGCTCCCGTAGTCGCCGTACTCGTAGTGACAGAAGCCGCCTTGACGCTGGGAGCCGGGTTGTTGCCAGCTCGCGCTCGGAAAGCCACTTGCTCAAGCTCACTCATCAAAGCCTGCTGCAAGTCCCTGGCGCCCTTAACAGTAGGGCGTGTGTCCACTTCCAAAGTATAGCGGAGCATAGACACCCGGAATGAGATGTCCACGTGCTCCGGGAGAACTTTCTTCACGATGTTGTCCAGTCCCTTCACCAACACGCTCGCATCAGGGCACTGCACGCCGATGTCTGTAGCCCTAGCCAACCACCTCGCCCACTTCCTCAGCTCATTCACGGCCTCAGCCGCATTCGCAGCTTGACTGGGCGACTCTAGGGCACGCAAGACCTGTTGGCGCTCGGCAAGGGAACCGGGTCGGTACAACACCACCACTCTCGCCAGCATAGCCAGCGTTCCCACCAGCCTCGTTGAAAGGAGCTCGGCCTTGACTGTCTCAGGGACGCTGGCCAAAATCATCGAAGAGGCGCGCTTGTCCACGCGAGCCCACTTTTCACTCTTCAGGTAGTCGGTTTCATAGTCATCAGCCTTCAGGGTCAGTTTTCCAACATGCGACGCTGCCAGGTAGGCTTCGTAGTAACGAGACAAACATGTCAAGATCTCTGCCCACCACTGTCCGCTGTTGTTACTGAGGTCTCCCATGTGCTTCTGAAGTCCATGTAGCCAATCACCCACGTCAATGGCCGAGTTCTGGCCTAGCTCGGCCAGCTTGGGCAACTCCGACAAACCCGGTTTCACAACCTCAGGCTCCTTCGTGCGCGACGTCAAAGATTCAGACATCGCCGTCTGCAGCTGAGCCATTCCTTGAACAAGGGCTCCAAGTGGGTCAGCAAAGGGCAGGGCATGCGCCTGCGGGGCCATTGGTGCTGACGCCGCCTTCGGAGCCTCTGTTGGAGGGTTCATTCCACCTGCTAGCCCAGGCTCTCGTGCTCCAGCTCCACTCTCTCCAGAAGTCCGTGCCCTCACAGGAAGACAGACTCCAAGTGGATCTCCGCCAGGTACAGAGAGGCCTTCTCGAGCTCCATGCAGATCCCTCGCATCACCTTGTGCAGGCCTTAGTAGATCAGGGCCAGGTTGGGCATTAGAAGGACATCCTCCGGCACTGCTGGGGGGTTCACGCGGTCCACCTGGAATTCCTCCGCTTCCACCGGCCTGAGCCAAATGAACACTTCCATGGGGTTCCGGTAGATTTCCGCGCTGACCATCAAGTCCTCCGCCTTCCAGGTTCCTGACTTGTACCTGCTCCAAAACTCGCTCCAGCATAGACTTTAGCTGCTGGTTCTCGAGCGCCAAAGCATAGCGCTCTTCGTTGTGCACTTTCATCTCGGCTTTCACCTGCTTTTGTACCTCCATAAGAACTTGTTCCTGAGTGAGGGAGGCACTTGAAGACTCCTCATTGGCACGTTGCTCCGGCGTGTAAAGATGAGGCGCCCTTCGGGTCCACTGCGACATAGTATTCTCCGCCTCCGGTGAAAACAGTCTCGGCACCCTAGGGGATGGTGTCATCACCGCTTGTCCGGGAGCCCTCGGTCCCCGTGAAGACTCCAAGATTGGAGTCATAGCCGCTCCTGCTTGAGCGACCCGTCGTTGGACAAACTCACCAATCCTCGTAAACCACATAGCTTGATTAGCAGGAGGGCTCATTGACGAGGACGGTGGATCCGGAAAAGCCTCCGGCGGAGAAAACTCAAATCCACTAGCCTCCACACTTTGTGCCCCAGTAAACACGCTCGCAGTCAGACCTGGAGGTTCTCGAATTTCCGAAGCATCAGGAAGCCCTTGATCATCACGATTCGCAGGCACTGATGCATCCATAAGGTCCGACTTGCTCGGCCGCGGCAGAGTGAGCTGAGCCTCGTCGCCCTGCTCCACTTCTACAGCCACCGAGGTGCCATTCATCACAGGATCACCCTCAGGTACAACGGGATCGTCCTTCCGCTGCACTGAGGAGCTCGCAACCGCCTCATAGTTAGGCCCGTTCATCTCACCATCCAGCAAGGTACGTCTTGGGCTCATACCCTGAAGATCACCATGGATCATGTCGG